TCTCTCTCTCTCTCTCTCTCTCTCTCTCTCTCTCTCTCTCTCTCTCTCTCTCTCTCTCTCTCTCTCTCTCTCTCTCTCTCTCTCTCTCTCTCTCTCTCTCTCTCTCTCTCTCTCTCTCTCTCTCTGTGTGTGTGCTTTTCCTCGCCATCTTTCTTTTTCCGATTCTATTCCTTTTGTTTTCTGCTGACCGCTCTTGCGGTGGGTTGGCAAATGACTGTTCAGTATGGCATGGTCGTTTTTTCCTGTTCTTGGGAAGGAACAGTGATGCAAAAAGACCCAAAAAGTGCCAACTGTTCGCTATTGCAGGCTGGGCCTATCTTTCTTTGTCTGGATGATGGGCATGGACTGGTATTGACGCGGGATGAAGGCCGGATGCTGCGCTATTTTCTTCTTGTATCCTTCTTGTCGTATGACGTCTCTTCGTCTGCTTTTGACTGGTATACTGTCTGTCTTTTATTTTTCATGGTAGCGGTGTTGGTGGTGTTTTTGACGAATACGGGCATTTCTTACTTGATTAGGGGCCAAAAGAACTCTTTTCCTCGTACTTTTCTTGCGGCTCTGGCTGTGGGTGAGTGATATTGATATGTCCTTTGTAAGCCTGTCCGGTCATGGATTCCCTCCACCACGAGAACTTGATGGTTTCAAGACTGGTCAAAGCGACAAATGCCTCGTCGACGATATCACATTCACAGGGTCATCAATCGAACCATTAGTGATAGAATTCCGAAAACAAACCTATGCCAAGCCGGCCTCAGCCCCTCCTCGTAGTAATTTAGCACGAACTAGTTCTTCCCCGCCCCGTTATCTCTGTCCACAAACCGTTTTTTGCTCCAACGTCCCATCCTCTCTCTCATGCACGATGACGGAGCGTGGGCAAATTGTCGGTATTCTCGTTGCTTGTTGCGTGGGGGGGGGGTTTCCGTGTCTCGCTTTCCCCGCACCGAAATTCCGGAGAGGTTCGTTCATAACGCCTACGGCGGCTAAACAGATTAAAAAAAGGGAAAAGACGAACGCCACGGCGTTTTTATACCGAGGTAATGCCAATGCTTGATGTGCAAATTTACGAGGAACATACATATTTGCACATCTTGTCTCTCCCCTTTTCCCCGCACAAGTTCCGTCGACCATCTTGTGATGGCCCGGGCACGTTTGCCGGTTTCCTGCACATTGCCCATCACACCACCACGCCATACACATACTGAATCCCGCCCCTCGTCCTCTTCGGTGTATCGTGGCCACCTTATTTGACGCCATTGCCCTCATTCCCACCGATGCGCATATAACCTTCTCGTCTCCCCAACCCCTCTTTTCCTGGGAGAAAGCTCTCTCTCTCTTTCTCTCTCTCTCTCTCTCGCCCGTGTCTCTCATTTCCGTGGTTTCTTCTGAACACTTCTTTCAAGCCCATACATTGAGAAGATAACCACATATACCGCCATGGCCAACCTCCCTGCGCAGCACCCCACGCTGTCGCTGCACCTCGCCGACGACACCCTCACCCCGCTCATCACGTCCTCGCGGTCCCGGGCGCACCTCGAGTCGCTCACGTCGCTCGCCACGTCGGCGCTGACCAGCCAGACGGCCGCCCACCGCGTCGGCATGGGCGTCGTGGAGCGCATCATGGTCGAGTACCCGCCGCCCGCCGCCGCCGCCGTCGTCTTGCAGTCATACCTGCAAGCGCCGCCTGCAGCCGAATGTGCTCCCTCGGAGACAGCGCCGGCGGCGGAGGGGGAAGAGGGTGATGAAGAAGGCGAGCAGCATGGTGTGGCGCCGGGGCTGGTGAGCGTGGTCGTCGCGAGGAGCCCGCAGGACGCGCGCGAGGCCAAGAGGGCGGCGGCCAGGCTCGAGAGGGTCGGGCGGGAGTTTCAGAGCCAGTGGAGCGCGACGGGTGTGTCTTGAATGGGCTCTGGTCTGGGTACGGGACATGCATAGATAGTTACGGATACATGGCGGGGTTTTTTTTTGTGTTTCCTTTTCGCGGATTGCATGGCTTGGGAGTTACGGGTTACTATCAACTCATAGGCGACGGCGTTTTATTTAAATGACTCTGGATATGCGTACGAACTTTGTTACACTCCTCGTTCCCTTCATTGTGTGGCTCCATTTTGTGGTCTCTGGGAACCAATGTTTCAGAGCCTCATTTCATGCGGGAGGAGGCTCTGCACCGATGCGACACATTCGCGTCTGATAACCCCATGTCCGGACGGACGCGCAAATGGGACGAGTTATCTCATAACTCTACTCTACGGGTTTCCTCAGCCGAATTTCGGCATTATTCATTTAAAAGTGCACAAGCTACTCGTCGTTTTTTATTGAATCTCCGTCACTCACCCGTATGGCGTTGTATTGGTTTCCTGTCAATGTGGCTTTTCAGCTCCCTTGTATCACTCATTGTGTGCAGAAGGCTGATATTTTGACAACAAGAATTGGTCAAATGACAGCAAGCTAACCGAATTGGTATAGACCCGAGGGCTTAGCGATGCAGAGATACGATTCAGACGATACAGACGATACGGGCGATACAGGCGATATAGGCGATACGGGCGATACGGGCGATACGGGCGATACAATACGTGTTATTATCGCAGATTCAGGGGCTAGAACGACGCCTGAACAAGTCAACAATCAATAATCAATGTCGCCGGCTTCATCATAGCGAATTTATCAATCGTGGCAGCCTTAAGAGATAAACTTGGTGGAGTGGCTACAAGGGTCTATACCAATTCGGTTTAGCTTGTTGTTATTTGACCAATTCTTGTTGTCAAAATATCAGCCTTCGATTGTGCAACGGACAATACCCGATTTCTGTCCTCTCCCAAGAATGTATAAATAGAAACAGTTTGCTTTTGTGCCTCACAAGCAAGTACCAATCTACAGCCAACCCGTAGATGCTTTTACATGTTCTCAGCGACATTATTGATATGATACGTATTCCTTCGTGTGCAGTGATTCATCATCGCTCTTACAAAAGTATGCTCGTTTCCTGACGAGGTTTCGGGTCAGTTCGTAGTTGGCCTACGGGCGGGATTGCTTCCGCGACCGCGGTCACGATTCAACTTTTTGCTCCTCTACTTTACGGTATTCGAGGAATAAGCCAAGATCTGACAATTCTTCGAGTAGAAAATAGGGAAGGCGTCCAGCTAGAAAAACTCAGAGTGCCGATGCGACCAGCCATGGCGATGAGCAAAGATGTGTAAAAGATGGCCAGGCACAGGGCAGAACAAGCCTCCATTATCGCGTCAGTTTGGCGGCGTGCTTCTCGTTTAGCATGGACCGAGGAGATAATTGCGAACGCGGAAAGCCATGATACTAGATCCGGTTCAAGACGTGGTCAACGCCAGAGGTTTCCCTGATGATGTTAAGGTGTACGTTGCTAGCTTGGGATACCACAAGTCTGTCATCGGCGCCGGGCAGCAACAAAAAAAGGACTCAATGCTGGCATCAATCCGTTCTCCTCGGCCATTCTTGTAAGGTTTAGCAAAATGGTCGACAGCCGTACGTACAATTTAATTCGAGGGGGTGCGTTGCCTGAGGCCAGATACAGTGCCAGTACTGTATTCATACTGGGCGATTTACAAAAGTACACTCTCACTGAGTCAGCCAAGTGAAGGCTTCAGTGCGCTGCGCTAAGATATCCACCCCCGCACGATTCGCCTGATTGCGAGTGCTGATAGCTGCCTGGGGGGCGGGCGACGTGTTGCCTTTTGCCTTTTGCGCACTTGCCTGGGATGTCTTATCCGACCACATGTGACTTGACTTGAAGAAAAAGAAAGGAAAGGAAAGCCGTCGGTCCCGGAGATCCGTAAGCCGGTTGCCTTAGGCGTGGCGAACAATAATTCACTTGCTTCAGGTGGCACGCATCACTGTCTCTGCCTGCTGCAATGGGCCTGATTCGGATTGGGTGAGCGGGCCGGCTGGGACGAGACCAGGGTTCAGATTGGCGCCGCGGGCGAAACAGCGAATCCAGCCTCAGTCTTGGACTCTTGACTCTCGCAGGCCAGGCCTCCAGCGAAAAAGCGTCACTGCCACAACAGACATGTGTTATTATCAGCGTAGATTAGTAGTGAATTGGTAGCTACTGTGAGAACACGCAATCCCTCTGGCTACCAGGTACCTAGGTACGGAGTCAAAGCCGCTGGAAATCGCCCCAAGCTCGCCGCGCCAGCCATTGGCCACCGCCCCAACTTTTGGGCCAAAAAGGCCTACAAGACGCCTGCACCAAGACCCTGGCCCGCTGTAAGTAGGTCATCCGTACTCCTCTTTTTTCTGCCTCCGCCTCTCCCCCAAACCTTCTCTTTCCTCTCCATCATCCTCTCTCCATCACCGCTTGTTGCCCGGCCACTTGTTACTCCGGCCATCATTTACTCGTCGGCTGCATCAAAGGGACTGTTCGAGGCTGTCGCGTTATATTCTCTTCGTACTTGCAAATTTACAACTTTTATCCCCGTCGTACCATATCCGTGGCGTGCCAGATTCCCTACTACGTCAGTCGCTGACGACGCACACCATTCACCTACCTAGGTATACATTTTCTAGCTGTAAGTCGGCCCGCTTCAATGCAGCCTGGTCGGCCACCTCAGCTCAATCGCCCGCCTGCACCGCCATCTCGCAATCTCTCCGTCAACAAACTGACAACATCCAGAGATAGCCCATCCACAGACATGTCGACTACCGCTACTGGCACCGACGCCATGGTCACCGTCAAGGTGACCTTCGATGGTACTACTCGCCGAGTCAAGATGTCTCTGCGTGAGATGATTCCCACAGTTCTTGAGGAGCATGTACGTTTCTCTGCTACCTTGCCTTCTTCTTGCCAGCCTTGTCAAGGCCTGTACTTGCATTTCAAGAATTGTCCATTTTTCTCGGCCACCAGCCTTGCAAACAATTATCCGTACTAACACCGCTTAGATCCGAACCTTCCTGCAGATTCCTGCCGACCGCAAGGCCATGGTTGAGAGATACTCCGACTCGGCCGCCTCGTTTGTTCTCCTCGACTCTTCAAACCTCCCAGTATACAAGCAACTCTACCGCGCTGCCAAGGCTAAATCCAAGCTCAAGCTGCGTGTCACAGTGCTTGAAGAACCCAAGCCTACTCCCGAGCCCGTTACCGTCGAGCAAAGCACAGAACCCGTTCCTGCAACCAAGCCAGAACCCCAGCAGCCTACCTCGCCATCTCAGATCAGTCTGCCTCTGCGCACCTCCGGTCCCAGCATGTCCAAGCAGTACGACCCCGTTCTGCTTGCCAAGGCTGCCGACCTGGTCGCCGATCGTGAGGAACTCCGCAAAGACTTTGAGAGCCGTCTGAGCTGCCTCATGAGCCGCCAGTCACTTAACCCCAGCGTCCTGGATGCCTCCATCACACCTCAAGATCAGCCCGCGACCGCCATCTATGCTGTTTGCTGCAATATCTGCGACCGTAGCATCCCCGATGCCCACTACCACTGCTCCACTTGCGATGATGGCGACTTCGACCTCTGCCAGTCCTGCATCGACCTGGGCATAACCTGCCAGAGCGATAACCACTGGCTAATCAAGCGCTCCATTGTCGATGGTGTCATTGTGAAGAGCAGTACCGAGAAGATTTCCCCCAAGCCAAAGCCCCAGGCCGTCAAGGAAGAGCCCGAGATCACACCCGTGTCGTTTGTCAACTGCGTTCTTCCGCCTTCACCACTAGCTGCGTTTCCGCCGCCAGCTATTCCGGCAACCCCAACCTGGGCGCCTTTTGGACCTATGCGTACCTGCAACACCTGCCTCACTGGTATGTCTATTCACGGCGTGTGCACCCTCTGAATGGCTAGGCTAACACGCAATAGAACTCCCCGATGCCCAGTTTCTCCACTGTCAGAAATGTGATGACTTTGACCTTTGTCAATCTTGCTTCTCGGCAAACTCTCATGGCCACCACCCCATGCATGCCTTTGGTCCGGCCGTTCCGGGCACTGTGATGCCTGACCACATCAATATCAAGATGGCTCCTGGCAGAAATCGCATGCACATGGCCATTTGTGACGGCTGCGACAAAAACATCAGCGGGGTTCGCCACAAGTGTCTCGACTGCCCCGACTGGGACTACTGCAGTGAGTGCGTTGAAAGTGCCAGCTTTGTTCACCCCAACCACCGCTTTGCTCCTCTGTTCGAGCCTCTCAAGCAGACTCACTCTTGCTCTGCCGTGGAGTCTATGCACGTAGGCATATGCTGCGACGGCCCCTTATGCAAGACTTCTGGAGCGTGGCCCGCTTACATCAGGGGCACGCGCTACAAGTGCGCCATCTGCCCTGACCTCGACTTCTGTGCCAACTGTGAGGCCAGCCCGGCCAACGATCACAACCAGACGCACCCCCTCATCAAGTTCAAGACTCCCGTCCGCCATGTTAGTGTTACCACTTCTGGGGAGCATCAAGATGGCAGACAACTACTCGCTATGGGTGACCGTTTCGAGGCTCACTCGCAACCTTCTTCCAGCACCAACTCTGTCAACGCCGTGCAAACCGTGGTCGACGTGAAACCCGAGGAACCTGAAGAGATCATGGTCAAGCCCGAGATGAAGGAGGAAGAGCCCCTTGTGCAGCTCGAGGACATCCCTCAGGCCAAGGAGGAGGCCCGCGAGACTAACCATGAAGAGGAGCTCAAGGCATGCTTCGTTGGCGAGAGCGTGGCTGATGGCACTATCTATGGACTCAACCACGTATTTGAGCAGACCTGGACCCTCCGCAACGACGGAAACGTCCCTTGGCCTGCTGGCTGTGTCGTCAAGTTCTCCGGTGGCGACTACATGGGCCACGTCGACTCGACTCACCCCGCTGGTATCTCTGACCTTGTGTCGGCCTCTCAGTCCACCGTGTGCTACTCGCAGCTCGCTCCTGGTCAAGAGTTCCAGTTCACCGTGCTCCTACGCACTCCCACGCGTGCTGGAAAGTTCATCTCGTACTGGCGTCTATGCACTGACGAAGGCTACCGATTCGGCGAGCGCCTTTGGTGTGAGGTTCAGGCTCGATCTGTCAAGGCCGCTCCCCCCACTCCTGTCCTCGAGGAGGAGGAGACAGCGCCGGAACAGGCTGACGAGTCCCAAGCCAGCAGCACCATGATTTTCCCCAAGCTCGAGGCGGAGTCCCCCACGGTTAGCGTGCACGAGGAGAAGAAGCTTACACTCACTTCTCGCGTCGCCTCGTCGATTCCCAGTCCCGTCGCTAGCCCGACTACCAAGTCTTACCTCGAGTGGGACGGCTCTGATGATGGTTTCATGACAGATGAGGAGTATGATATTCTCGACGCCTCGGATGAAGAGTTTCTTGAGGAGCAGCACAAGAAGATGATGCAGGAGTAAATCGTTACCGCGTAAAGACGAAGGCGGCTGGTCCTAGCGAAACTTTGAGAGTTTATTCTAATTTTGGCCCGTGGACGGCCTGCAGCGTCGATGTACTCTTTTTTTGTTTTAGTGAACCTCTTTTATTTGTTGCGATAGCTATTTTGTATTTTGAGGCCCTGATGCATGAGCCACCAGAGTGGACGGATGAGCTCTGGGATGCCACTCTTTTTCTATTCATGTTAGGGTTAGGTAGGAACGAAATTGACACACGATATGAGCTTTTGGTTGTGCGGATGTGATGCGGCGTACATGATCGAGAGCAAGATCCTGGGCATATGTGGGAAATATTTTGAAGGGTGTGGAATGACCAAATAAGGATCTATTGGACATATATCCAGGTAATACGCTGCGGTACATCGACTTTTGACCATTGGTTGTCTTGGAGAAGGATGGGCTCATGTTGGCTCATCATTGCTTTTGTCCCAGCAGCAGTATCGATGTCCGTGATGTCCGTGATACCCTACACATTCCAGTATGTTTAAGTGAGCGCCAAATGAGTTCATGCCTGAGGCCGCAATAGGACTGTCAGGTGGATCCCGTGCGGCGACAAATCCATTGGCTGCAGCTGCCCTTCCCCCACTTGGCGCGGCGCACCCGCACTGGGCGCATTCGCACTGGGCGCATTCGCACTGGGCGCATGCACTGGGCAGGTCCTCAGCTTTGCTCTTAGAGTTGGGCGCCCCGTGTTTGTGGCTGACATTTTTATTTTTTCTCACCACCCCAAGTTTTGCCTGGCCGTGAGCGGCTCCGTGTGCATCCCGCCTCCCACAACACGAACACAAACGCTGGGCCATCCATCAACCCACCCCCGTCTTTGTGCGCTTATTTTATCCTTCATCCCACACCCAACGGCCAAGCGATTTTTCCCATGCATCGACTCTTGTAACACAACATCCCCCCCTTTCTGCTGCTTCCCGTCCTTGGGGATCAGATACACCTTTTTTTGTGCTGCTCTGGCAACCCCCCCCATTCATTGTCCATCGCGCCGCCATCTGGGTAAAACACGCCGGAGTTTCTCCTCCCACCTCCCTTGCACGGTGGTCACCGCAGACGCGACCATCCAAAGCACAATTGTGCAACGCGGGTCATCATCCAACGTCCTTTTAGTCGCTGCTGGCCTCATCTCTCACGTCGCGTTTCGTTTGCTCATCCATCGAAACCTGACAAGGCTGACTACGCATTCGCCACATCGCGCGCGTCTCGACTATCAATTCTCACATCATGGTTACCTTCGCCCTACCGAGCGATGGCGACAGCGTTGCATCCACGAACGGAACGCCGCGAGCTCGCCCGCCGCTACCATTTGCGAGGCGCTCCTATGGCGCGTCGCCCTTTACCAAGGCCTCGGCTAAGCACCTCGGAACACCTCAGTCCGCGCCTTCACGCCGTTTTTTTTCTAGCCGAGGCGACACGCCTGCAGGCGCGCTTAGCAAAAGCAACATCTCGACCGCTCGAAACATATTTCAGGCTTCGGCCCACACACAAAGTCCGCCATCCGGCCCCTTTTCGCCCAACCTACCCCAGAGCACCATGAAGAAGGTCTTTGCCCCCGGCGCGACCCCCGAGCCATCGCGAGTCTATAGAGAATCCACAGCCAGTGCCGCACCGCGCGGCATGGCTGCCAAGTCGTCAGACAAGGACCTTTTCCCCATGCGAATCTCTTCGCCCCCGCGTGAGCTCACCGGCGAGGCCCTTGCCCGAAAGGTGCCCAAGGAATGGAACTCCAAGGGTTCCATCTATGCCGATCAGTTCCTCGCTCACCTTTGCCCCCACCATCTCGACGAAGAACAGCGCAGACAATTTTTCTGCATTCTCGATCTCCGTCGCCTGAAATATGCCGCCAACGAGATTTTTGCGCGAAAGGACTGGAAGTTGAACGTCATCAACTTTGCCAAGGAGTTTGAGAAGAGTAGAAGCATTATTCTGCTGCGCTATGGTCTTTACGAATTCCAAAACGTCAAGCCCACAAAGGAAGTCCTGAAGAGATGGCGTCGTGAGCATGGCCTTCCTGAGCCAGAAGAGGAGGAAGCGGAAGCTGTAGAAGCGACCCCTTCCAAAACCGTACCGTCCAAGAAGAGGAAGGCCGATGACGACCTAACCAAGGACACGGTCAGCAGCGATGCGAATAGCTTCGGCAAACGCCAAACTACCGACAAGGTTGGCCAGGACGCGCCAGCTCCCATTGCTACGCCTCAACCCACTGGCAAGAACAAACGCAAAGCCTCTGTTGGCGAAGAGGACCAGCCTCTCAAGCGTTCTACGCCCTCTGCGACTAAGACTCTCTTCGAGAAGATTGCCAACAAGACCACCGAGGTTTCCACCCCCCGGCCCAGCCCGTTTGCCCCGAAGCCTGCTGCAGGTGGTCTGGCTCGTTCTGTCTTTACTAACATCAAGGCCAGCGCTGGACAAGTCCCAAGTGGAAGCGCCCCTACTGGAGCCAGTAACATCTTCGGCTATTTGTCTGATGCTAGCTCGGCCAAGAACAGCGGCGTCGATGCTGATAGTGAAAGCGATAGTGAAACCGACCAGGACGCGAGCCCTGCTGCGCAGCCGGCCGAGGAACAGAGCGCCGAGGCCAGTGCAGTGGAGGTTGAGGAAGTGGCTGCCTCCACCGTTGCTGATGACTCCACTCGCGAGAGCACACCAGGCCGTAGCCTGTTTGACCGTTTGACCAAAGGCACCGATGGTGAGCCTGTCCGTGCTGCTGAGCCTAGCCAGTCCCCTGCCGAGACAACTGTACCTGCCGAGACAATCGCACCTGTCGACAAGACCTGGAACCCTAGCACCACGCCTCTGAAATTTGCTCCCTCTGCCTCGCAGGCCAACCCGTTCGGCAGCTCGCAGCCCTCAGACGCGTCCGCTCTCTTTGGCGCAAAGCCATCCGGCCCGGCTGGCTCGAACCCTTTCGGTGCTCCCAAAGCAGTCGAGTCTATCGAAAAGTCTGCCGGGCTTGCTTCTTCCGCTAGCAACATCTTTGCTCCCAAGAGCACCGCCCCATCCAACCTTTTTGGTACCAAGCCGGCTACCACTGACAAGCCTGCTACTCCTGCTGCCGACTCTAGCAAAGATGGAGGCGAGTCTGATAAGGAAAACGACTCCCAACCTGCCAAAAAGCCGGCGTTTGACTTCAAGCCCTCCAGTGCGACCTCAGCGTCAGGACTCTTTGGTGCCAAGCTTGCCGCCTCGACTGCCGACACGGCAGCGGAACCGGCTAAGCCTGCTTCAAACCTATTTGGCGCGGCCGCTGCTAAGCCTGCGGCTTCGGGCCTCCTTGGTACTGTCGACAAGGCTAAGGAGTCTACACCTGTGATGCAGTCATCGACTCTTTTCGGCGCAAAGCCTTCTGATCCAGCGAAAGCTTCTTCTACCGAGGCTTCCGCTCCCATCACCACTGGAGCACCTGTTTTTGGAGCCCAGACCACACCCGCGGCTACAAGCTTCTTTGGTGGCGCTTCTGCTACTCCTTCTAAGCCACTATTTGGCGCTACCGCACCGAAAACTGATGCACCTGCTACGGCTGCACCGGCCGCCACACCTATGTTCAGCTTTGGTAGTAACTCAACCGTTTCTACCCAGCCTGCCGCTGGAAAACCTCTCTTTGCGCCGAAATCGCCTGAGGCGACCAAAACGAACTCTGGAACAATATTTGGCAGTCCGATGAAGCAAGATGAGCAGTCTCCCGCGAAAAAGGTGTTCGGTGGCGGGACTTCGTCTGCTCCTGGCTCCTTCACCTTTGCAACCGCGACGCCGTCTGTGAACTTGTTTGGCGGCGCTGTTGGTGGCAACACCGCGACCAACGGCAACACGTCGGTTTCATTTGGGGCTCCGTCCACTGGCAACGGATCGAGCAGCTTCGGATTCAACTTTTCAAGTGGTGGCACGGGTAGTACGGATGCTAGCAGCACCAATACCAGCTTCGCCAATCCATTCGGTGGCAACAGCGGCAGCAACAGCCAGTCTATCAACCCGCCAAGCAGCAGCATGTTCAATTTTGGTGCTGCCTCAGCGACCCCAGCTTCGGGATCTGCTACCTTTCAGTTTGGTGCCGCGGGAGGTGCGTCTGCTCCTATTGGGGGAGGAACAACGCTTGGAGGCAGCAATCCGGCCTCTGGCAACTCCACGCCTCTGTTTGGCGGCGCGTCTGCGGGCAGTGCTTCGGGCTTTAGCTTCACAGCCGCTCAGCCACAGAGTGGCAACATGTTCCAGGCCGCACCGTCCTTTGGTGCCAGTCTGCAGCCTCCAAGCGGTGGATCCTCTATCACCGGGACCAGTAAGTCTCGAACTCTGCCCCGGAAGATCGCCCCCCTAAAGCGTCGCCTATAGACTCGCCATTAAATCTGGCTGGAGGCTCCAGCTTGGCGACCACGCCAGCCGTGGGCACTCCAGAGCCCAGTGGCCAAGCCGAGGCGATCAAGAACGGAGATGACGAAGAAGGTGAGAAACACGAACAGATAAACCTTACAGACGGTGCCGAGTCAGATGAGGAGGCTGTACATGAGGTACGGGCCAAGGTACTCGAGTTTGTGCCTGACGAGCAAACGGATGGCGAGGATAAGCCCAAGCCAAAGAGTCCATGGACAACAAAAGGAGTCGGCTTGCTGCGAGTGTTGAAGCACAAGGAGACCAACGCGGTGCGTCTGCTGCTAAGAGCTGAACCAAGAGGCAATGTTGCAATCAACAGAGTGCTTCTGCCCAATGCCACATACAAGGCGGATGGGAAGTATGTGCGCATTACCACATCAAACGAGGCTGGCGATGGACTGCAGACTTGGATGCTTCAGGTGAAATCCAAGGACGTGGCCCAGGTGTTGGCGGAGGCCTTTGAGGAGCAAAAGGTGCATAATAAGCAGGTTGAATAATAATTGGGTGTGGACTGTTGGATTTTGTTTCGGCCCACGGGCCTGGAAATAGCATTTCAGACGGCTAGGGTATACAGCCGCAGGGAAAACAAAAAAGGTATAGTCATTTTCTATTACTGGTTTGCATGAACGGCGTTTTTAGAGCATCGAAGCTTCTTACTTGTTTTATTAGTGGGCAATCTGTCAGAAGAGGGAGGCTGTTTTAGCTATTCTATTTATACTGTATCAAGGCCCAGAAAGGGAAAAAATACGCCTTTGCTTCTGCCAATTCATTCTTTCTCTGTGACTGTGATAAACTGTAGAATGGACGGGTTGCGTTGTAGCGCTGGCTGAGCTGTGTCTCAAGTGGCGGAGAGGGAGGATGCAGTTTCCACACCAAAAAAGCGTGGCTCACATTTGCATCGCGGGGCACGCTCGGCTGCGCGCGCGTCGCGTTTCCCAACCCGCAACGTTTACAGCGAACCGCAGCGACGACCCGCCGCAGCAGTCGACAAAATGCCACGGTACGAACGAGACGATGATTATTATCGAAAGGGTGCACAGCAGCTGATCAAATGCCTTGATTACTAGGGAAATTATTACGATTCAGGCTGGACAGTGCGGCAACAGCAGTTAGTTTGGGCCCCAAGCGCAGCAGGAAATGGCGAGAGGATGCACAGGTTGCTAACATCCCATGGCGATAGTTGGCAGTCAGTTCTGGCAGCAGCTCTGCCAGGAACACGGCATCAGTCAAGACGGCAACCTAGAGGACTTTGCGACCGAGGGCGGCGACCGCAAGGACGTGTTTTACTACCAGAGCGACGACACGCGATACATTCCCCGCGCGATCCTGATTGATCTCGAGCCGAGGGTACCATCCCTTCTTTCCCCGCTGACCTTGCGACTCTCTCTCGCACCTGTGGGAAGAGATAAAGGAGACAACACACGAGGATGACACCTGGCGAGGATGACACCTGCTAACCGTGTGGCGCACCGCAGGTCATCAACGGCATCCAGACGGGTCCGTACCGCAACATTTACAATCCCGAAAACTTTTACATTGGAAAGAATGGTGTGGGCGCGGCGAACAACTGGGGCGACGGCTACCAGAGCGGCAACGAGGTGTACGAGGAGATTTTGGAAATGATTGACCGTGAGGCGGACGGCAGCGACTCTCTAGAGGTTAATCCTTTTCCGCCCCACGGGAACTCCCCCCCGGCTTGGAATCACAGAGATGCTAACTGGGAACCCCAGGGCTTCATGATGCTGCACTCGATTGCGGGCGGCACGGGCTCCGGCCTGGGCTCGTTTTTGCTCGAGCGCCTCAACGACCAGTTTCCGAAAAAGATTATCCAGACGTACTCTGTATTTCCGGATACGACAAACTCGGGCGATGTGGTGGTGCACCCGTACAATAGCATCCTGTCGATGCGGCGGCTGACGCAAAACGCCGACTCGGTCGTGGTGCTCGACAATGGCGCGCTGGCGCGCATCGCGGCGGACCGTCTGCACGTCGAGAAGCCATCTTTCCAGCAGACCAACCAACTCGTAATGTCTCTCCACGGTCTCTTCCACAACCCGTCCGCTAACACGATGTCGTAGGTCTCCACCGTCATGTCGGCGAGCACAACGACGCTCCGGTACCCCGGGTACATGCACAACGACTTGGTGAGCATCCTGGCATCGCTGATTCCGACGCCGCGGTGCCACTTTCTCATGACGGCCTACACGCCCTTTACCGGGGACCAGGTGGAGCAGGCCAAAACGGTGCGCAAGACGACGGTGCTCGACGTGATGCGGCGGCTGCTGCAGCCGAAAAACCGCATGGTATCGACGGTGCCGGCCAAGAAAAGCTGCTACATTTCGATTTTGAATGTCATTCAGGGCGAAGTCGACCCGACCGACGTGCACAAGAGCCTGCTACGCATCCGGGAGCGCAAGCTCGCCACCTTTATCCCCTGGGGGCCGGCGAGCATACAGGTCGCTCTGACCAAGAGGAGCCCGTACATTCCGATGAGCCACCGCGTGAGCGGTCTGATGCTGGCCAACCATACGTCCATAGCTACGGTACGCTTTTTTGTTCTTCCCCTTGTTTTGTCTTTTACTTTCTTGTCCCTTGAATCCGCGAGAACATCGTGCGCTGACTGAAGGGCACTTGTTGGGCAGCTGTTCAAACGTATCGTCAAACAATATGACGGCATGCGCAAGCGCAACGCCTTCATGGAGGGATACAAGAAGACGGCGCCGTTTTCGGAAAATTTAAACGAATTTGACGAGGCGCGCCAGGTGGTGGGCGACTTGATTGCCGAGTACGAGGCGGCTGAGAACGAGGACTACCTCAAGGGGGACACGGCGGAGCCGACGAGTGCGGACAATGACCGGCGAATGACTTGAGTTGGGTTTCTTGAAACTGCTGAAGGTTTTTTCGTACAAGGCTCGGGGTATTCCATGCGGTTACGAATTTTGGCGCTCGTTGTGAGGCAATGAGCCGCTTTTTACAGGCGTTTGAGAGTATTTATGAATGACATGTGTAGTGCTTTTGATAATTTGAAAGAAACAATTACTTTGGGCCCGAAAGTTTCCAGCATGATATTCAAGTTCATATGGTAAAGGGCACATGTTCCTGCTGTTGCTAACATGCTCTAATGTCTTGCATGCGACTGGCCAGCCCAATCCGCCAACTTGTCTTCACTTCCCCACCACTCCACCTCTGTCCTCCTAAAAAAAACGAAGGCTGCTATTTTGACAACAAGAATTGATCAAATAACAGCAAGCTAAACCTAATTAGAGATTTATAGGTCACAGTGGATACTAGCGCCGTCTAGCGTAACGCTAGTTAAATTTTTAGCTAATTAGACGGTAGGACTGCTAATAACCACTATTAACACAGCTTAATCTCGTGATAGCCTCTTCTAGTGTTTTCCTGCTATCAATAAACACCCTTAACAGCCTTAAGAGCGCCGCAAGGTAGGTACTAGGCAGCCTCTTAGCTAGCGATATAGAGATAGACAATACGGGCGATACAGGCGATACAGGCGATACAGGCAATACGGGCGATACGGGCGATACGGGCGATACGGGCGATACGGGCGATACAGGCAATACGGGCAATACGGGCGATATAATAGGTATTATTATTGCAAATTTAGGGGCTAGAACGACGTCTTAACGAGTCAACAATTAACGCCGCCGCGCATGCCGCCACGCACGTCGCCACGCACGCCACCAGCTTCGCTCCAGCCGCTGGCAGCGTCAATCATCAACTATCAATTCTAGCTGCTAGCTTCATCATAGCGAATTTATTAATTCCAGCCATCGTGGCAGCCTTAAGAGATGCAATCAATACTCGTTAAGAATTGACGCTGGTACGGATACTGTCCCCTGCAAAACTTGGTGGAGTGGCTATGTGGGTCTATACTAATTAGGTTTAGCTTGTTGTTATTTGATATTCTTGTTGTCAAAATAGCAGCCTTCAAAAAAAGCCCAAGCTTCGCATCCGCCACCATCCTCGATTCCCATATCCAACCACTCTCGCAAGGCCAGTCCATGCTTCGCCCCCTCCTGTTCCGCCGCGCCCTCACCACGACCACCACTCTCGGCACCATGGCGGCCGAATCCGCGGCCAAGCGCCTCAAGACGGACGGCGGCAGCAGCAGCCTGCTCATCGGCACGCACAACGGGCACTTCCACGCCGACGAGGCGCTCGCGGTGCACATGCTGCGTCGGCTGCCGGCGTACGCCAACTCGACGCTCGTGCGCACGCGCGACCCGGCCGTGCTCGCGACGTGCCACACCGTCGTCGACGTCGGCGGCGAGTACGACGCGGCGCGCCACCGCTACGACCACCACCAGCGCGGCTTCGCCACTACCTTTCCCGACCGCCCGACCAAGCTGTCGTCGGCCGGCCTCGTGTTCCTGCACTTTGGCCGCGCCATCATCGCCCAGCGTCTGGCGGGCGCCGGCGCCAGCGCCACCGAGGACGACGCCCAGGTTCGCCTGCTGCACGCCAAAATCTACCAGAGCTTCGTCGAGGCCCTCGACGCGCACGACAACGGCATCGCCGTGTACGATCCCGCCGCCGTCGCCGCCGCAGGCCTCGCCAAGCGCTTCTCCGACGGCGGCTTCGGCCTCGGCGCCATGGTCGGCCGCCTCAACCCCAGCTGGAACGAACCTGCTGCCGCCGACCCCGCCGAGGCCCAGCGCCGCGAGGACGCCCGCTTCCTGACGGCCAGCCAGCGCATCGGCGAGGAGTTTGACCGCGAGGTCGACTACTACGCGTCCGCGTGGCTGCCCGCGCGCGCCGTCGTCCAGGACGCGTTTGCCCGCCGCGCCGAGCACGACCCCGACGGCCGCGTCCTCGTCCTCGACGGCCAGAGCGTCCCCTGGAAGGACCACTTGTACACGCTCGAGCAGGACGAGGGCAGGAGCTCCGTCCTGTACGTGCTGTACCAGGAAAAGCCAGAGCCCGGCGCCAAGTGGCGCATCCAGTGCGTGCCCGAGTCCAAGGACTCGTTTGTCAGCCGCAAGCCCCTGCCGGAAGCCTGGCGCGGCTTCCGCGACGCCGAGCTTGACGCCATTGCGGGGGTCGAGGGCTGCGTGTTTGTGCACGCCGCCGGCTTCATTGGCGGCAACGCGACGTTTGACGGTGCCAAGGTCATGGTCGCCAAGGCCCTCGCTGCGTGAGGGGAGACATGACGGCTCAAGCAAAAACAGGTGATTAAAAACAAAAAGGACCTGGTGTTGGGGTTTTGATTTAGAATTTCAGGCATCTCGGAAAGGATCCTAAGGATTGTTTGTATACAAAAGAAGCGCAAGGTTAGAAAGGCACTTTCGATTTTGAGAAACAACATCATTTGCTCAGCTACGAAAAAAAAATGCATCGGACCTGCGTGTCGACGACAAAAGTACAGAGTATGCGATCCTTGCAACAGGCGACAGATTTGGCTCCTCGCGTGACAAAAAAAACCTCCCATTGATTCCTCGTACATGAAGATCCCACTCTGTTTTCCATTTTATTCTTTCTCATTTCCCACCATGGAGCCAGCCATTCGTGACATTGTGCAACAGGCGACGTTAAAAAAAAGGAAAAGAAAAAGGAGATGGAGGACAGACACCTTTGCGTTTGACAAAAGAAATGGTACAAGAGAAAAATGCGTCCCAGCAAATTGAAAGATTGCCCCAGAGAGAGCTGGTGTGCGCATTTGTGACGCCACGTAGCCCCTCGGAGACGAAGTAAACGCCGACTCGTGCAATAAAAAAGCGTGGTAAAGAACATGTGGAGAGAGAAGAGAACGCGACGGAAAGTTGTGTCCAATCGTTTTGATATGGGCAAAGAGAAAGAGGGCCTTGGGCGAGAAAGGAAGCGTCAATCTTGTACAGCGTTCCAGAATCCCTTTTGAGCCATAACTTGAAAGGCGGGGTAACGCGAGCGAGCGAAGCCTAGGCGAGCCTCTGCTTTGCTGGTATAAATGGGAAAGGAAGGCCAATACTTCCTATCTGCGGATCGGGATGCCAGCACCACCAGCCGCGACAGACTCTGCGGGAGCGGTCGTCTTGTCGTCGTCGCTCTCGTTTGCCGACGTCTCGCGGTGCAGGAAGCTGCTCTCCTTGACAGGGCTTCCGGCGTGGAAGCCCTGCGGTATGGCGGTGTTGAGGCCGGCGGCGGCGGCCGTGCCATGGGGCGCGCTGGCGCCGCCAATGCCGAGGTGCTTGGGAATGGCACTGCCGGGGCCGCTGCCGCCGTTGGAGCCGCCTGCATTGACGGGCGACGAGAGGTGGGGGATATTCTCGGGGACGGGGTGCTCGGAGCCGACGGAACCGGCGTCGACGCTGTCACCCTTGCCGGCCTTGGACATGGCGTAGTCGCCCGAGTCAAAGTACTTGCGGTCCTTGAGGTGCTTGGCGAAGTGGTCGGACCGCGAGGGGAGCTTGCCGTAGAGTCGGAAGAGGCGTTGCTCGTCGGGGGATAGCGACTACAGGGGAAAGAAGCGTGTTAGTCCTGTTGGTTCAATGCAGGTCGATGCGGTTGCGTCTTATGGTTTGTCGAGTGAGGTGGGTGGGTTGGTGGTTGGTCGAGCGTGAGGTTGTTGGTGGGGTGAGGCCGGGGCAAGCAAACAAAAGTTTCTTACCTTGACGTCAATCTTGTTCTTCTGAAGAAGAGGGTTCATGGCTGCGGTTGATGCTCGTTCGTATTATAAAAAGAATGAAGTTGTCGGCGGCAAGGGAAAAAAAGGCTGTGTGGCCTAGTCAACCGCTCGCTGTTCTGGGCTGGTCTGTGCAAGTACACGAAAAAAAAAGGTCGGCTGTTGGAGAGGGAAAGCGGGGTCGGGGTGCTGCGTCACTGTCAAGACAGCTACGATTTCCCTCGAGTTCGAGTCTGCTCTGGGCAAAGGAGGCGGCGGCGATGAGTGTAGTGAGTTGCGAAATAGGACTTGTGCAAAGAGGGGGTCGGCAATGGGAAGAAGGATGGGTGAGCAAGTAGTGTAGGTCGGCAAGGTAGGTAGGTGGTGGTGTGTAGTGGTGGTGTGGTGGTGACGAGCGAAGCGAGTGACGAGTCAGAGGAGAGGAGCAGCAGAGCGGGAGAGCTAAAAAGAGGCGGAGGTGGCGCTAGCACGTTGTGGGAAAAACTACAGTGGGCTCCGGGAAGATTACAGTGGACAGAACCCGCGCGTGCGTACTGTACCTGGGTACCAGGTCGTCGATGTGCCGGGTATAGCAATATCTGTCTATCCGCGCGGTAGAAACGACGGCCGGGCGGGGGTTACTTGTATCGGAGTATGTCTATATCGAGGTCGCCGAGGTCACCTGGCGCAGTTTTTGCGTTTCACTACAACTCGCTTCAAGAATGGGCGCGGACAAAGGGAAATATTGGCAGTTGTATTGTTGTTTGGAAAATATGTGCATAAAATTGGTATATCTGTCCGAGTCAATTGGTCTGGTACAGACGCCCCGTCGCATAAATACATTCATAAGGGGTAATAAGGTACTGGATATACCGTCCTTGTCATAGAGCAAGCTCGCCTGGCTTCATCAAACAATTGCGTCAGCGATAGCGTATGAAATTCGATTCGCACACATCAATAGAGCGTAGCTTGTTGTAATGCAATTCATCAGTGGGCCGGCCCGCGGTTTCAGTCCATTGCCGCTGATTCTCGCGATTCGTCCCATACCTAGCTGAGGTGGTGCACTGCCGGTCCGAATTGTGCCTGCAATGATGCACGTGCAGGCGTCAAGTACACAGCATAGGGCAATCTTGTCCGTGCCATGTAAGCAGGTTGCGACTTGCATTTGTAAAGCACAAAGCCAAAAAGAAAAAAAGAATAGGAAAAAAAAGGACCTGCGTGTCACCATGGGGCTACGACGGCCCGAAGCATGGATTACACTGATATTGCTAATATTCAATGCGCCCCGACAGCCCGTTCATCATCGTTGTCGTCCTCCGGAGCCGGCACTGTCACTGGGCCGGTCACCTGATTGTTTGCGCAAACACACTCTTTTCTTTCTAACCGCTCACTGCCTACAGTTGCGGAGGAAACCCTTTGATATCTATTTTCAGCTTAATGAAGCAAGATGAAAAAAAAGTCTCGGCTAGAAATGATTTTACATCCTGCATGTCTGCATCATGGCTTTCCTGGTGCATGTCTGACAATCCGCACATTCGGCGTTCCTTCCCCGCGTACGGATTACTTTTTGGATTTCTAAGCAATCGTCTAAAAATCAAACCATTGTACACTTGAAGAAAAAATCCGCTCTGCTTTTTTTTTCCTTGAGAGGGGACCTTATAAATAAGCCCAGCCATCGCCCCCACCATTGCTTCGTCGGGTGCAAAATTGAACAGGAAAAAAAGGCCATTCGAGGGCTAGCGCGCCGGGTTCTATCCTTTCATCAAAGAGCCGCGGGTTGGGCTTTTTTTGAGTTTTGTAATCCTTCGAACTGGCGTGCTGAGAATCGTACGGCGAAAAAACAACATCTTTGGTTCCCGTCCGTGATTGGAAGAAAAAGTCTGGTTGAAGAAAGAAGAAAGAAGAAAGAAGAGCAAACGGGCACAAACGGCCTTACTTCCTACCAGCTCTTGCCGGGCCGTCGCCAACACAAGCCCAGCCCGCCGTCCGCGCGCCTGGCCGGCCGGACCTATCCAAAAACCGCCCATCTCCGCCCACCACGGCTTTTCGCCCTCCGCCCTCTTCTCTCCTCTCTTCTTCTAGCCCTGCCGCCGCTTGTGCTCTTGGCGTGATTGGTATTCCTTTATTTTCATTTTTGATCTGTCTCGGGCTGTCGCTGTCTCGCACACGCTACGGCTAGACTTGCCTGTCGCGGGTTGCGTCATATATACAGCTGGTTGCGTTTAGCTCTGCTCTGCCCTGCGTACCGATCTACATTCTACAACCTCACACACATCCCGTTTCATCACCAGAATGGGCTTGCTGTAAGTCGAATTCTTCGCCAACTTGTATTTGTTTTGACGCTGCGAACGACTGAGCTGCTTGCTGACTTGTTGAGACAGTGCACTGGGAACGGCGCTGGAGTGGCCCGAGGCCAAGAAACGCGCCGACCAGGTCCGGGAATGGGGCATCAAGGTGTGTAAATGAACTCTTGCTGCCATTATCGTATCTCCTTTCTGACACTTCTGGTAGCAATTGCTGGAAATTTGGAGCAAGGCCAAGGGCAAGGAGCGCGATGCCTTGCTCTGGGGTGATGAGGTAAGGCTCTCACTGCTCATCGCGTTGCCCAATCACAAACTAACCGTCTTCATCATTTCAGGTTGAATATCTAGTTGTCAACTACAAAAAGGACAACCCAGAGGTTCATCTCTCTCTGCGCCAGGCAGAGATTCTCACAGCCCTCGCCGCGGACAAGGATCTTGACGGTAGTTGTGTGCCGGCGCTTCAAGACGCCCATTCCAAAAAGTACAACTAAATCTACCCTTCTCACCACTAATGCCGAGGGCTAACAATTTCCTCCAGCTCCAGTACTCTTCCTGTTTTCCATCCCGAGTTTGGCCGCTTCATGCTCGAGGCCACCCCCGGCAAGCCCTGGGGCATTGGCTTCAAGGAGCTTCTCGGCGTCGAGCCGGACATGAAGCTGCGCCGCAAAATCGCCAAGGAGCACATGTTATCCTCGGAATACCCCATCACTCTCACAACATACCCCCGCCTCGGCGCGCCGGGCCAGTTTACCGACCCGTACTACCCGCCCTCGGGCGACAAGCTGCGGTCCCAGTTTGTCCCCGACGAAATCGCCAACCCGCACATCCGCTTCCCCACGCTGGCCGCCAATATTCGCTCCCGGCGCGGCCGCAAAGTGCAGGTCAACGTGCCCATCTTTCAGGACAAGCACACGCCCAACCCATGGAAGGACCCTACCGTCAACTACGACCTGCACAAGTTCCCCGAGGACGACGATGTGCGCAACGGCGCGGCCCCGGACAATTTCATCCACATGGATGCCATGGCGTTTGGCATGGGAAGCTGCTGTCTGCAAATTACGTTTCAGGCCAAGAACATCAACGAGGGTCGCACGCTCTACGATCAGCTTAGCCCGCTGGGGCCCATCATGCTTGCGCTGACGGCGGCGACCCCCATTTACAAGGGCTTCCTGGCCGGCACCGACGTGAGATGGAACCAGATTAGCAGAGCCGTCGACTGCAGAACGCCTGAGGAATTGGGAGAAAAACCACTCAAGAATGATCGCTGGAGGATTCCCAAGTCGCGATACGCTTCCAACTCTACATACATTTCTCTAGATCACAGACTACGGGAAGAGTACATGGATCCGGATCTCGTATTCGATCCCAAGATCAAGGCAGAACTCATCAACGGCGGCATGGACGATCGGCTAGCAACTCACTTTGCGCACCTGTTCATCCGCGACCCCATTGTTATCTTCGAGGAGGACCTCCAGGAGCTCGACCTCTCCAAGACGGACCACTTTGAGAATATCCAATCGACCAACTGGCAGCACATGCGCTTCAAGCCGCCGCCCGCCGAGAATAATATTGGCTGGCGCGTCGAGTTCCGCTCCATGGAGATTCAAGTCACCGACTTTGAAAACGCCGCCTTTTCCGTCTTCATGGTGCTCCTCACCCGCGCCATCCTCTCCTTTGACCTCAACTTTTACATTCCCATCAAAAAGAGCGACGAGAACATGGAACGCGCGCACAACCTCGACGCCGTTCTTAAAGACACGTTTTACTTTCGTAAAAACGTCTTTCCCAGCCGTCCCTCGCGCGCCAACACCGTCTTTGGCGACGACATGGCCAACGGCACCACCGCCCCCAACGGCAACGGCGGCGGCAGCAGTCGGCCGGGCTCCCGCTACCCGAGCCGACCCGGCTCCCCCGGCGGCCCCGTGGAGCTCGAATACGCCGAGATGAGCATCGACGAAATCATCAACGGTTCCGCCGATGGCGAGTTTCCCGGGCTCGTGCCGATTGTGGAGAGTTACCTCGACAGCGTCAACGTTGACGTTGAGACGCGCTGTGAGCTCGCCACCTACTTGAGCCTCATCAGCAAGCGTGCCAGCGGCGAGCTCGATACGGCCGCACGCTGGATCCGCCGCTTCGTTGCCGCGCACCCGGCCTACCGGCAGGACAGCGTCGTCGGTGACAATATCAACCACGACCTCATTGGCGCCGTTATTGCGCTCTGCGAGCGCGAGGCGGCCGGTCGCAACTTTGCCGGGCTCGGCATCCAGGGTTTATCCAGGCTCCTTGGGCGGTTCCGTGGCGGGTGCGGTTCCGAGGCGGAGGAGATGGAGGTGGAGAATGGTGCAGCACCGGCGGCGGTTGATGAGGACACGGTGATGCCGACGACGGAGGCGGAATCGCCGGCAAGGAAGCGCAAGAGTGACTGGATCGAGGGAGCGGAGCAGCAGCTATAATTTGTCAAAAGCGGCTAGCACGGAGAAAGGGTGTTTTCTTTCCGTGCATCATTTTATTTATACCGTCGAGTTTCTTCTTGAGTTGAAGAGAAGGATCCCGACTTACGTACGCTATTTAGTCCTCGTATATACGCCATATCAGCAACACAACACTATTTTGGGTTCTGATACAAGCACATTCGAAAATAAATCTGAATACAATGGACGTTTCGCGTGCAGCCTAGAAACAGAAACAAATGACACCACTTCATCACGCTCTCGATAGGGTAGCTCAACGGTTATGTGATGGTGATGTCAAGAGAGTGGGGTGGGGCTTGCGACTGCCAGGCACCCAGCTTTGTGCTGCCCAATGGTCGAGAGGACAACTTGCCACCTGCAGACACTTTGTCTTTTATCCATCGATCAAGACATTCCCATCTCCAGACATCCTCCTCGCCTCACAAAACAGGCCATGACGCGCGTTTCGGTTTATTCTGCGGCCTTGGTCGCCTTTGTGGCTTGTACGTATACCCAACCTTGCATCGCAGCGGCACCACCGTCCGTGATAGCTCCACTGCCATGACCACCGTTGCCCACTGCCCAAGCTCCCCATCGATGCATATCGCACCGTTTATACATCTCCCTCGGTAACTAGCAAGCTGCTAACCTCGTTGAGCTGCGCACAGCCGCCGCCATGATTGTCGCCTCCATCGCCATGCCCAACTGGATTGACTACGCTGTCACAACATCGCAGGGCGACACCATCCGCAAGACCATCGGCCTGCACAAAAGCTGCTCCAACCTGGACGGCGACCGCTGCACCCCGTACCCGACCGCGAGTCTGTGCCAGTCGGAGCGGCGCTACTTTTGCACCCTGTGGCGCACCGCCGGCTGGCTGGCGTCTTTGTCTGTCGTCCTCGCGCTCGCCGGCCTCGTCTCGTTTGGCATCACCCTCGGCGGCGGCAAGTACAAGCGTGCGAGCGGCTGGCCGTTTGTCGCGGGGCTGGTCGCGGCGTTTGCGGCGGTGCAGCTGATTGTGATTTCTGCTGTGGTGAGTTGGCGATGCTCGTGGTGATGGCGAGAGAAGGCTAACGAGATTGGGCTCATGTGTAGGCATATCTATTTGACCACGATGAGCAGTTTGTCATTCCCGGGTGGCAGCTCGGTGTTTCGTGGTACCTGGCGCTGTCCAGTGCGCTGCTCGGCATCGCTACGGTGGTGGGATTGGTGTTGAGTGCGTTTGTGCTGCCTCCCGAGGATGGTTATGAGTTCTTGGAGGAGCCTATGAATGCATGATTCTATCTGAAAATGAGAGCTGCTAGCCGGACCGACTCAGACGGACTATCTATATAACTACCCTACTATTATAGAATAGGTTAATCTATTTTAATACTTATTAAATAATACTATACTATGCTAAATCCTAAATACTAAGCTAGTAATAGCTATAGCCTTATTTCTTTTTAAATATATTTTTATTTAATATTAATAAGATTATAATTTAACTTTTTTAATATCTTTTTTTATTATAATAAATAACTCTAAAAGTAAAGAAATCTTATTTTTAAATATAATAAAAATAATAAAAATAATAAAAATAATAAAAATAATAAAAATAATAAAAATAATAAAAATAATAAAAATAATAAAAATAATAAAAATAATAAAGAATAAGTGGCTATGGCCGGTAAGGCAAGTCCTCACCTACGCGAAGAGCGCGGAGGTTCGCTACGGCTTCATCATCACCGACGCGTGCCTCGTGGTATTCCAGTACGCCAGAGAAGCCATCTATGGCGGGCTGAGTGCGGGGCGCGATCCGCGGGTGGCAGCACAGGCGACGTTGCAAACGGGCCACCACCGTGTCCTGTCCGCGAGTTCTGATATATCGAGCTCCCTCGACGCAATATCCCTAAACGAGGAGTCGAACTATCAGGATTCCCTCTCGGGGGTCGAGTTCCAGCCACCAAAATATGCTTCCATCCCCTGGGGTAACGCTGGGGATGACATCTTAACTGTTAAGCTTGGCCTCTTCTACCTGGCTCTTATGGCTGGCTACGGCTACAACAATCTCCAGACCACGTATCCAAAGCTGAATACGCGGTGGCACACTGACGACGGGGACTTCCGGCATAATACATCCGATTCCATCGTCACCTACCTAGGTAGTTACATCTTTTCGAGGCGAGGAGCTTTCCTACCCCGCCTTCGCCACATCGGTAGTCAAAAGCACAGCAACCAGGTTCAACTTCTATTCGCCACTCTCGTGATCGTCTTCTACAGTAGCAGCACCACCTCTCTCGCATCCATTCAAGGCAGGCGGGTTATTCGCCCTAATCGCAGCTCCTTTCCATACAAGCGCGTCAATCCGCGAGGGCTCGTTCCACCCTAGCCGCCGGTCGCAGAACACGATCTCGTTGAAATCGACCAGCCTCCCCCGGCGCCAGTTCCGGGCTTGGTAGCCGTGAATCGAGAAGCCGGTGAGATGGAAGAAGTCCAGTTGTGACTGCATCTCGGCCACGTCTTGGTCCGACATGATTTTAGCGTCGTCCACGTAGTCGTATACGAGCGCGTATTGGTAGTCGACGTTTGGGTCGACGTCCCTGCCCACTATCTCCGTCCATCTCAGCCTTTCGAACTGTCGCGGGATGTCTCGTCGCCTAAGCTTGAGCCAGCCGTAACAGCGGGTTATGTCGGGGAACGCGGGCATGGGCTGCGGGTCGTCGTAGCGTACGGGTCTACTCCGCCCCTCGTCCGTAAAGGCGTAGACGTTATTCATGGCACCCTTCTTGCCGCGAGGGTTCGACGAGACGACGATCGGCTCGTCCGACTGGCATATCGCCCACCTGAGGGCCTCGATCCTCGCCGCGTTTTTGCACTCCATCTCGAAGGCCCAAGACGGGGTGTACATATGATGCAAGCCTAAGGGGGTAGTCGGGGGGAAAGTCTTCCAGAACTAGATAACATAACATGTTAGTAAGGTATGGGCATAATAAAAAAAATATGCGTTAGGAACTTAGTCGAGTAGTCACATACCACTTTTAGGGCAAATGGACCATCCCCATCACCAAAGCGTACCCGAAAGACGATACCGTCCATCCCATATCCGACATATTTTCTCCAACTGATACGCTGGTCGTGCTTTCGGAACTTGCGCAGCTTCGGCGACCAAAAGTCGGCAATGCTAGTACCAGGGGGGGTTTCGTCCAAGAGGTCTTCCTGGATAAACCCAAGGCTTCCAGCACCAGTAACGTTCGCATTGGGGGCGGAGGAAGAGGGTTTTCTGTCGGGATTTTGCATTATTAGACACCGATTTAGATATTTAGAGGAGAAACATCGGCTGGGTTCATTTTAACTGCGAAGGTGTTTTCTCATAAATACACCTCACCTAGGTACCTTAGTAAGTTTAGCTAATGCTGTGAACCTGAGTTTCTAAATTTTCGATACAATTGTCGATTTCGGTTTAATTACATAATTCTACTATATACCTAACACAAAATTGACCCCCGGTCATAGAAGTACCTTTTCGACCAGGGTAAGAGACGGGTTATACCAGGGTAGATAGAGCCAATTAGAGCACTATATATAGGCTGAAAAATAGTTTTTTTCCTGTCGAATTGTAAGACTCTTGTGGTGCAAAATCCGTAGACGAAACAGTACTTCCTGATAAAGCCCACAGAGGACGCTAGTATCAAGGTACCGAATTTCAACTTTGGCTCGAAATTTGGAAACTTAGGATCAGGACATAAAGGTAGTATCCCTTAGATAAGGTAGTCTTATTTCTTTTAAGTATAATATAACTGATCCTAACCCTAACTAACTATAATTATATACTATTAACCTTAAATAACTACTAACCTAAATACCTAACTATTAACCTAACTATTAACCTAATCAGATTAGTTTATAACTAATTCCTATTAGTAAGTAGGTTTAAATTGCGATAACTTATTCCCTAATTATATATAATAATAATTCCATCTGATCTATCTCTCTATCGTGAGTCCCCTCAAGCTGATACGCAAGGTGGGGATGTACTCCCCCACGCCCAGCCACTTCCGACAACATCTAACATCTTCTCCACTGCTCGACTTCACAGATACAACCTTATTAAACAACATTCTTTCATCATCCATACTCCCCGAAACCTTGGCTACTTGATCTCACATACTGCTAATCCACATTGCAACTCTACCTGCTCTACTACAACCCGCTCGCCGACATGACGGCCGCGGGCACTACCCCGGGCGGTGGCCTCTCGCCTGAGCAGCTCGCCAAGTTCAACAGCGACGGGTACCTCATCATACCCGGCGCGCTCGCGCCGACCACCGTCTCCGCGCTCCTCGCCGAGACGCACAAGATGCTCGCCGAGTTCCCCATTGAGACGCACCCGCTGACGCGCTTCACCACCGGCGGCGCCGCCGGCGACGCGGCGCACGTGGGCGACGACTACTTTCTCGGCTCCGGCGACAAGATCCGCTTCTTCTTTGAAGAGGACGCCTTTGACGCCGCGGGCGCGCTCGCCAAGCCCAAGGAAAAGGCCATCAACAAGATTGGCCACTACCTGCACGGGCTGAGCGCCCCGTTTGCGGCCCTCCTCGACGACGACGCCATCCGGGCCGCCGCCGCGCCGGTGGTGGTGAGCCCCGCGGCGG